AACCCCGAGGGTGTTATGTTACATGTTTGGGGCTTCCTCTTTTTGGGCGTCGCGCCGCCACAGGTTCAAAGTGCAAGAGGCTCAAGCACGCTCGAAGAGAAACGGCCACCGGGACCTGGCAGGGGCCCATACACGGCGAGCACTAGCACCCTCCAGCAGGTCAGCGAGCAAGCCAGCGAGCTCGGCTCGCCGGCCGCACTGACCCCTAGAGGGTAGGGCAGCCCGCCGAGTACAATTGGCCCCGCAAACACCAGGAAGCACAGTTGAATGTGTTAATCCCCTGGGGGCACCCCTCGAGAGCCTTCCACGTCCCCCTATTGTGGCTCTGCCGACCTAGTTCAAACTGATGCCATCAGGCAAGGACTACTGGATTGACTTTACCACTCACGTCTTACAACTTCAGCTGTCTTAAAATATCTTTCCAGCGGAGAGCGGCCGCTCGAATCCTATCTTTGGTGCTAGGCAGAAGGGTGAGAGCGACGGTGTCAGCAACTGCCTGAGACAAGTACATTCTGGCTACTTTTGTGCCGCCCCACCGGCCTTGTTGAAGAGTATACTCCATATTTCGATGGCGGGTGAAGTGGGCGGTCGCACCTCCTCTGCGGAGGCTATACATTGTGAGCCCTCGGTCCTGAAGGTCGAACATCTGAAGCAACCAGGACAACTTCCTCCGAACTTCAGGCGCCGTCGCTCCACACAGCAGATCTTCCGACCCCAGCTGCAAGCATCTGCATTTTAGGATATTTCGAGACACTCCGTCCTTGAGAGAAACCACTTCTGAAAGGCCAGTTCGCAGTCCCATCTTCGAGGCCTCGATGTGCATAACTGCCCGCTCACCTTTGACAAGGATGTGCCGCCGTCTGAGAGCCAGCAGCTCGCCTGCGCGCATGAACGTGCCGAAACCGACGAGGATCACGGCCGCCAGACCTTCCCAGCCGAGGTCCCACGCTGCAGCTGCCAAGGCTAGGACTATGTCGGCCGCGAACGGTGTCGCCCGACTGGGCGTGCACTGTCTCTCCCACGCTCGCACCAGGCTCCAACTCTGCTGCAGGTTGCCCTTCAGGGAGGGCATCATCCACTGCAAAGCCGCTGTCGCATTGACCACCAGGTAAAGAGGCTCCAGCTCTGCCCAGCACGCTTCTATGTACAAGCTGAAGCTTTTGTCCACGTCGTTGAGCGAGGACAGCTTCACACTGCGCGCCCTCCACCACACAAAAAGGCGACCGGCACATCGAACATACCGATCACGCGTGGCTTTAGTGACCTGTAGGTATCGCAGCCGCGTGCCTCGCTTACTGAATTGTGAGAACGCACATGCAACCAACTGCGACGCCTGCCGCCGCGAGCTGTCACTTGGACTCTTTTCGGCGCCATTTCTTAGTCAAGAACTCCTTGGACGGCCGATCACTTGGGTTGAGATTGGTATTGATATACCCAACGCCCACATACAAGTCTGAACTGACGAGTATAGCAGCGCACTGTCGAGCGAGTCCTCGAAGCTTCCCCGATGACGTGCGGCCGCGGGTCAGTATCGAAGCCACAACTTGGGAATCGACAAGGTGCAGAACCTTCACGCTCCTGAACGAAGTAGTGCGAGTCCTGTGCCGCAAGGAAGCGTTCACCGCCTTCAACTCGAGCGCGTTGATATGCAGCTCCCTCGACGACTTCGGCCACGGAAAGGACAGCGTCGGCCGCCAGCGCCACAGCGCCTGGTCGATCGAGGATCGCGGCCACGCCTTGGGGCGGAAAGGCACACCGATGTCGAGGCGGATGTCACTCCCCGACTTCTCGGCAATCGTCCAGAAAATCTCGACCAGCTTGCGGCCGATGGGGGTCTCCTTGATGGGGTCCCTCGAGAACTCCACCGACTCGTCGAGCAAGTCCTTTACCTCCAACTCGCTCGTGATCCCCTCGAGGTCAGTCGGCCTGACGGGCCAGCCCAACTGGCACTTCAGACCGAGGAACAGCCAGATAACGACGCAGCAGGCGAACGCGTTCCCCAAGAGGCCGCAGCGATCGTTCTCAACGCTGCCACGGCTGGAGCCCGAGCTGGCTACGGACGACGAGTAGTGGCGAGGGAACCCCATGAGCACCTCCTTCTCCGTGGCACACAAGGGCCTCAAGTCCCCCTTGGAGTCCCGAATCATGTGAACTAGCTCGTACTGGTACGGAGGGTACGCGTGCAGGTCCTGGGTCCACCTCTGGACGGCCTCTGGGCTCGCTGTCGATAAACCTGCAGGCTTGCACGGGACAGTCTTCTCACGCCGCTGGAGAAACATGCAGACTGGGCCCTTGTCCGAGGCCCTGGAGCACCCTGCGGCAACCCAAGAGCCAGCAGGAGCCTTCGGGACCTGGAGCGCCCTGATGAGGTCGTAGTTGGCCTTGGGCTCCACGCGCACCCCAGGGAGCTTGAGGACCGCCTCTCTCCAAGACAACCAGTACAAACGTGGCCTTCTATTCTCTGTAAAGAGGGAGTTGCACACGCCGATGGGCCTAGTCTGGAAGATGCGGGAGAACTCCTGGAGGGATTCTGCGCTCATTGAGAGTACATTTTCCACGAGCCAATGGACAGGCACCTTCATGACGAGAGCCAGTGCGCTCACCACCTTGGGCATGCGCTTGAACAGGCCGCTCCGAGCGCCATGTGCGCCCTGTCGGTCGGCGTTCACACCGCTCGTGTCCTGGCAAGGGCTGCCTCCCGCAACGACCACGGCGACAATCCGATCCTGGAACATTGCCAGAGCCTCAAGCTGTCGGTTGTGGATTTCCTCGACTGGGCCCAGCTCGATCAGGCCAGGCCAGCGCGATCTCAGCACCCGGCGAGCCCCTTTATCGACCTCGCTGCTCACGTAGCCTACGATGTCGAAACCAGCGCGCACCAGCGACACAGCAGCGCCGCCGATGCCGTCAAACAAGCTCACCAACAGGACGCGCGGCGGAGCCCCTGGGGCGATCCTGGTCGGCTCGATCGTGCACGAGCCCGTGTAGCTGGCAATGCGATGGCCCCAGGTCTCAGGGCTCCCGAGAGATGTCAGGAACTTCGCGGCCCCCTCTGCGAGCCCCACGGCCGTGCACATACCAGCACCGTCCTCGCTGGCGTCAGAGCACGAGACGATGCTCGTGGTAGCGGCCCTCAGGTTGGTGGAGGCGAGGGGCATCAGCAGGCAGCTGTGCATCAGCTCGTCCAGGCTGGTCCTGGTCAACACAGCACGGCCCGAGCCAATCTGCTCCCACACCGAGTTGAACACCCCGAAGAGAGGACGTCGAAACTCCAGCGCCCTCACCCAACGTCCCATGAGACTGAGGAGCTGGTTCCCGAGGGGGTTCTCTCTTGTCAGGAGCCACATGGTAAGGCTGTACAGCTGCACGTTCTTTATTGGCGGCCCTGCCTGAGATCCCGTCCACCTCTACACCCATCCGCGTGACCAAGAGCTGCCTCTGGTTGGCTTTGTCCACGCTGATGGGGAATGCATTCCGCTGGTAGCTCTCCCTCATCAGGGCCTGCAGGCGGCCAGGAGTGCCCACCTTCGCGAGCGCCTCCTTGCACCCAGCCGTCTCGCAGTTATCGAAGTCGTCGATGTACACACTCCACCACTCGCGAGGGCCCTCATGAGACAGGGGAGCAGCTGCAGCGGCGGGGATAGGACGGTCGCGCCGCCACTCCAGGTCAGCTGGGAGGGCGGCGCCAGCAGGGCGACCCAGAAGCGCAACCCGCCGGTGGGCGCTCTGGAAAATGGGGACGCCGTACACCTAGCCCATGGGCAGCACTGTCATGGCCAGCCACACCTCCTTGGCCTTCATGCCAAGAACATGGCCAGGGACCGGGGTGCAGATCGCCATGTAGCCCAGCCACGGCGCAGGGGTGCGGTACATGAAGAAAGCTCCCTTCTGGTCGTCCCCACTCCAGAGCAGCACCTCCTCGGGGCCAAAGGAGATGCTTACCCGCGCCGGCGAGGGTACCAGAGTCACTGAGTCCCCTGCCATCGGTCGAAGGTACGTATTCGTCGGGGCCATGTTGAAAATCAAACGTGTCACTCTGGCCTCTCCCTCAGCTGGGGACCCCGACTTTGTCACAGCAAACAACCCATTTGTGACGCGACGGCCGCGGGCCACAAAGATGCGCTCAGCTGGTATAGGGGCCAGCAGTCCACGCTCCACCAGCTTGGCAGCGATGGCCCACCAATCCCCCAGCTTCTCGACGTTGATCTTTGCCTTCGGAGGCGACTCGGGCCACTCGGCCTCCGGCAAGAGCGACATCTCGGGTTTGGTGAGCACCTCCTTGAGCTCTGGCCCCACATAGCCCAGCACGTCCAAGCGGCCGATATCTTCGGCTTTGGGAAGGCCGGGCTCAAGCTCGCCGAACTTCAAGGGGAGCGCCCGACAGTCCTCCTCCAGATCGTAGCTCGACCTCGTCTTCTTCATCTCCTGAGGCCAGAACGGGATGTCCACCGCCGCCAACGCGTCGCCCACGTGCCACTCGACCGTCTCACCGATCACACGTAGGCTGGCGGCCTGCACCTCAGAAAAGCGCCCGGCTGCTTCCCAGCGGTCCTTGCTCAGGTGCCCAAGGTAAAGGTAGTTCAGGCCCAGCACGCTCAGGAAAGTCCACACCTCGACCGCCATGGCTTGGGCCTCCTTCTCTAGAGCAGCTGGCCACTTCGTAACATCCACGGGGGATCCCTCGCCGTCCAACATTCCTCTTCTCTTCAGATCACGTTCCCAGGCGAAAAAGGTTGCCGGCTCCCTTACTGGCAGGGGCAGCACATCACGCCCGACACCAGCCTCCGGCGATTGTGGCGCGACGCCCACAGGGAACCTTCTAGCGAAATCTCCACTGCAACTTGGCATTCTCCTGACACTGGTGAGGATCCCGAAACCGATCTCCAGCATTGTCATTTGGCTTCGGCCGCTGCGGCACATGCGCGAGGCAATGTCCGCCTTCCACTGGCCCAACGTCAGCGCGGCCACCTCGCTGCCGATAGCCGCGTCACTCATCACGCTCAATGCTTCAGCACGACCCGCCTCTGCGGCTCGCTCGGCTTCGCCGCGTTCTTGGCCGACACCCGGCGCTTGAAGAACTGCGACGCGATCCTCCTCTTCAACTGCCGCCTGGACTCCCCCTCGGCACGCGGAGTCTTCGCGCGCGCCGCCGCCCACGCTGACAGGGGCTTCCCGTCCACCGCCTGGGGGGCCGGGCGGTCTGTCAGCGCGGGCAAGCCGCCCCCCGACGGGGGATCGGCGCGGCCCGCCTCCAGGGCAGGAGCACGACCCCTGGGCGGCTGCACTCCCGAGCGGCTGCGCAACTCTGCGGCGTCCGCGGCAGTGCCGATGTGGGTGATCGGCAACGCTCTGCTGTCCGGGCTTCCACCACGGCTCGGGCCTGCAGGGCGGTCGGCCAAGCTCTCGCCGCCGCCCCGGCCAGACCCCTAGCCGCGGCCCCCCAGGCGCCCGAGCAGCTGGGCCATGCGCACCTCGGCGGCCTCGATGCCCGTGACGAGCTCCTCGTCCTCAACTGAGAGGCTCAATCCACCATTGTCGGGGGGGATGAGCTCGAACCACTTCGCCGTCCTCGAATGGCCATCCCGCATGGTCTTCTGGATAGCCTTGATCCTGCAGAAGATGAAGTCCAGGGCGTGAATGGGCTTGCCTGAGACTATGAGGTCCGCACTCTCCGCGAGCGTCCGCAGCTCGCGGTACCGGTCCTCACCAATCTCACGAATGGGGTGCGCGGGCTTCAGCACCCGGAGCAAGAACTTGAGCGCCACGGGGCTATGCTTGTTCACACCTCCAGCATCATCATGGTCCAGAAACTGCGCCATGTTCTCCATCTCCCTCTCCGAGAGGCGCCCTGGATGCTCTCCGCTATCTTCTTGTACGCGAGGCGGCGGGCCGCCACAGGGCGCCCGCCAGGGACGCGATCATCAGCACTGCCAAACAGGCCGTCGTCGTTGTCGCCCTTCTGACTCAGGTACTCGGCGAGCGTCTTCAGCACTGCCCGCTCACCGGAGCCGCGAGCACGACTGCCATCTGCTGGACCAGCAGCGGCAGCACTCGGCGCCTGTCCAGTCATCCTCGCCTGGACCACCTCGCCGAGCTTGGCCTTCTTGGTGGGTGCGGCGGCCGTGGCCCCGCCCGCAGCGGCCTCCGGGCCGCGCACTGTCGCGAGCTTCTCCCGCAACTTGTTGAGGCGCTCCAGGGAGCCGTCCTTCGCCGAGCTCTTCGTGCCCTCGGACTTGCCTGAGAGCGCTGCGAGCTCCCTGTCGAGCTCAGCGAAGGCGTCCGCGTCCGCCTCGTCGGCCTCCTCGTCGCCGTCGAGCTCCACCAGGTCGCCCCCAGCCTTGCCTACGCCGGCGGGGCGCTTCCTGGCCGGGCCAGCGAAAGCGGCGCGACTCGGCGGCGGCTCCTCGTCCTCCTCAGCGGCCTCAGCCTCATCTAAGGCGGCCTGAACGACATCAGCTGGCAGCTCGGGGCAATCCTCATCGTGCTGGAGCACTGCCATGTGCCGCTCGGCTGCCTGAACGGCCGTGAGCCTCTGGGGCGCTCTGGTGTGGAACACCTGGCACCCCGCCCGCGGTGCCGTGTAGCGACATCGCAAGACTGGCCCACGGCACACGTGTAAGATCATCTTCTCTCGCTTCGCAATCCGTGAGTTAAGCCACCATGACAGGTATTGGCCTCCAGCAGCAAAGTATTCCACTTCGTAGGCGGTGCCCCCTGGGTTGTCCGACATCACTCTGCGCACCACGCGAACCACAGAGCCCGCGTCGGACCCGTCATCATGCAAGACGGGATGTCGGAAGCACTCGCCCGGCATCAGCACTGTCGGGCGGTCGTCCGCCATCAGCACCTGATCGGGCGAGCACCAGTCGAGGTCAGGGGGCGCGGAAAGGTGTACGGTCAGAGTGCCTGAAGCGCTCGAGCTCCAGACCGCAAGACCTGACCTGCGGCGCAGCCGCTTGAGCCGTACACCTACGGAACGATCGAGCGAAGGAGTGTTCACCCTGAGCTCTCTCGAGGCCCGTCGGGCGAACACTATATCACCTGCTCGCTCGACGGCGGCGCTTTGCCTAAGAGGTCCAAACATACGCCCAACCCCGAGGGTGTTATGTTACATGTTCCTAAGGATTTGGGCGGATTTTCACATGTGTTTCTTTTCGGCCTTCTGACGGCCCGAGACGGCCCAAGAGCCCCTAAAGATCGCCGAAAGATCGCCCAAGAGGCCTCCAAGATGGCCCCAGAACGGCCCAAGAGGGCCCCAAGGGGGCCCCCAAGACGGCACAGGAGGCCTTTAAGCCGCCCAAGATGGCCTCTACGACGGCCCTGAAGCATTCTAAGAGGGCCCCAAGTCGGCCCACAGAGGCCCCCCAAACGGCTTCCGACGGCGTCAGACGGACCAGGAGCCCACCAAGACGGCCGAACATGGCCCTAAGATGACCCAAGACAGCCCAAGAGGCCTCCAAGAGGGCCGCCAGAAGGCCCGAAAAGGCATATTTCCCATAGGTATTTGAAGGATTGTGGCATTTGCTATTTTTCTACCGTCCGACGGCACGAGACGGCCCAAGTGCCCCCAAAGATCGCCCAAGAGGCCCAAGACACGACCCCAAGAGGCCCCCAAGACGGCCCAAGAGGTCTCCAAGACGCTCAAGATGGCCCCCAAGACGGCCCAAGAGGCCTCCAAGACGCTCAAAATGGCCTTCAAGACGGCCCAAGAGCCCTCCAAGACGTCCTCCAAAAAGGGCCCAAAGGGTCAAAATGGCCTCCAGACGGCCAAGATGACCTTCAAGATGCCCACGCGTTCCCCGAAGGCTTTCCAAACCGATTCGGGGAACATATGGTCCGATAACTTGGCAAGTCTGGCCTCAACGTTCGGCCACATAGGCGCTTCCAAAAAGGCAGGGGGCGGCGGTGATTCGCCGTAGGCGTCTTCGATCCGCCGCCCCCTGTCGATTCATCGCAGGGGTGCCTGGCGTGCCAAACTATATTGTTATGGTTTTGGTTCTTTTTCCAAAAGAACTCCCCCTGGGGCTCCGGCGCGTCCCGCCGGCCACCAGGAAGAGGTGGTTGCAAACGGTTTTCCTGTCCCAGACGGCCCCAAGATGGCCTCCAAGACGGCCAAGACGCCTCCAAGACGGCCACGATGGCCTCCAAGACGGCTCAGAGGGCCCCAAGATGCCTCCAAGACGGCCCAAAATGTACCCAAGACGGCATAAGATAGCCTGAAGATGGCCCAAGACGGCCCACGAGGCCCCCAAGAGGCCTCGAAGACGGACCAAGAGGCCTCCAAGAGGTCCTCCAGGAAGGCCCGAAAAGGCGAAAATCCTTGACTATCCTTTGGTTTTTGAAGGATTTTGGCATTTGCGCCTTTTCGGCTTTCCGACGGCCCCAGACGACCCAAGAGACCCCCAAGGTCGCCGCAAGATCGCCCAAGAGGCCTCCAAGATGGCTCCGTGACGGCCCAAGAGGCCCCCAAGACGGCCCCAAGAGGGCCCCAAGACGGCCCACGAGGCCTCGAAGACGCCCACGATGGCCTCCAAGACGGCCAAGATGGCCTCCACGATGCCTCCAAGACGGCCAAGATGGCCTCCAAGACGGCTTAGATGGCCCCAAGATGCCTCCAAGACGGCCCAAGATGCACCCAAGACGGACTTAGATGGGCCCAAGAGGCCTCCAAGAGGCCTCCAGGAAGACCCAAAAAGGCCAAAATCATTGCTTCGCCTTAGGTTTTTGAAGGATTTTGGCATTTGCGCCTTTTCGGATTCCCGTCGGCCCAAGACGGCCCAAGAGGGCCCCAAGGTCGCCCAAGATCGCCCAAGAGGCCTGCAAGATGGCTCCAGAACGGCCCAAGAGGCCCCCAAGACGGCCCCAACAGGGCCCCAAGACGGCCCAGGAGGCTTTTAAGACGCCCAAGATGGCCTCCAAGACGGCCCCGAGGCGACCCAAGAGGGCCCCAAGTCGGCCCAGAGAAGCCCCCAAGACGGCTCCCGACGGCGGCAGACGTGCCAGGAGCCCACAAAGACGGCCGACGATGGCCTTAAGATGGCCCAAGACGGCCAAAGAGGCCTCCAAGAGGGCCTCCAGTCAGACCCGAAAAGGCCAAAATTATTGATTTCCCATGAGTGTTTGAAGGATTGTGGCATTTGCTATTTTTCTGCCTTCCGACGGCACGAGGCGGCCCAAGTGCCCCCAAGAGGCTCCCAAGACGGCCCCAGAGGCCTCCAGAACGCCCAAAATGGGCTTTCAGACGGCCCAAGAGCCCTCCAAGACGTCCTCCAAGAAGGCCCGAAAGGGTCAAAATGACCTCCAGACGGCCAAGATGACCTTCAAGATGCCCACGTGTTCCCCGAAGGCTTCCCAAACCGATTCGGGGAACACATGGTCGGATACCTTGGCAGGTCTGGCCTCAACGTTCGGCCACATAGGCGCTTCCACAAAGGCAGGGGGCGGCGTTGATTCGCCGTAGGCGTCTTCGATCCGCCGCCCCCTGTTGGCTTGCCACAGGGGTGCCTGGCGTGCTGGACTTCTTACGGCTTCGGTTTTGGTTCTTGTTCCAAAAAAACTCCCCCTGGCGCTTCGGCCCGTCCCGCCGGGGCTCCCGCAAGACCCATAAGACGCCTAAGCCATCGCCCAATTCCCAAATGTTCCTCCAAGACGGCTCAAGATGGCCTCCAAGATGGCCACGTTGGCCCAAGATGGCCTCCAAGATGGTCCAAGATGGCCTCCAGGTCCGCCCGAGATGGTCCAAGACGGCCTCCAAGACGGCCTCCCAGACGGCACAAGAGAGTCCAAGACGGCCCAAGACGGCCCAAGAGGCCTCCCAGATGCCTCCAAGACGGCCCAAGAGGCCTCCAAGAGGTCATCCAGGAGAGCCCGAAGAGGCAAAAATCATTGATGTTCCTTAGGTATTTGAAGGATTTTCGCATTCGCTTCTTCTCGACTTTCCGACGACCCAAGACGGCCCAAGAGGCCCCCAAGATCGCCCCCACAGCGCGCCCAAGAGGCCTCCAAGATGGCCTCAGGGTTGCGAAAGAGGCCCCCAAGACAGCCCCAACAGGGCACAAAGACGACCCGAGGGGCCTCCAAGACGCCCAAGATGGCCTCTAAGACGGCCCTGGAACACCCCAAGAGGGCCCCAAGTCGGCTCAGTAAGGCCCCCCAAATGGCTTCCGACGGCGTCAGACGGGCCAGGAGCCCACCAAGATGGCCGAAGTTGGCTCGAAGCTGGCCCAAGAGGCCTCCAAGAGGGCCTCCAGGAAGGCCAGAAAAACGCAAAAAACATAGATGTTCTATAGGTTCTTGAAAGATTTTGTCATTTGCTTCTTTTCGGCCTTCCGACGGCCCGATACGGCCCAAGAGCCCCCAAAGATCGCCCACAGGTCCCCCAAGATGCCTCCAAGATGGCCCCAGAACGGCCCAAGAGGCCCCCAAGACGGACCCAAGAGGCCCCCAAGACGACCCAGGAGGTTTTTAAGACGCCCAAGATGGCCTCCAAGACGGCCCTGGAGCATTCCAAGAGGGCCCCAAGTCGGCCCAGAGAGGCCCCCAAGACGGCTCCCGACGGCGTCAGACGTGCCAGGAGCCCACCAAGACGGTCGAGGATGGCACTAAGATGGCCCAAGACGGCCCAAGAGGCCTCCAAGAGGGCCTCCAGGAAGGCCGGAAAAGGCCAAAATCATTGATTTCCCATGGGTGTTTGAAGGATTGTGGCATTTGCTTTTTGTCGGCCTTCCGACGGAACGGCCCAAGTGCCCCCAAAGATCGCCCAAGAGGCCCCTGTGCCCCCAAGAGGCCCCCAAGACGGCCCAAGAGGCCTCCAAGACGCTCAAGATGGCCTCCAAGACGGCCCAAGAGCCCTCCAAGACGTCCTCCAAGAAGGCCAGAAAGGGTCAAAAAGGCATCCAGGCGGCCAAGATGACCTTCGAGATGCCCACGTGTTCCCCGAAGGCTTTCCAAACCGATTCGGGGAACACATGGGCCGATGGCTTGGCAGGTCTGGCCTCAACGTTCGGCCACATAGGCGCTTCCAAAAAGGCAGGGGGCGGCGGTGATTCGCCGTAGGCGTCTTCGATCCGCCGCCCCCTGTCGTTTCATCGCAGGGATGCCTGGCGTGCTGGATCCTTTCGGTTTTGGTTTTGGTTCTTGTTCCAAAAACCACTCCCCCTGGCGCTTCGGCCCGTCCCGCCGGTCGCCCGAAAAGGAGCACAATTCCCCAATGTTTCGCTCAAGATGGCCCAAGATGGCCTCCAAGATAGCCACGTTGGCCCAAGATGGCCTCCAAGATGGTCCAAGATGGCCTCCAAGTCCGCCCAAGATGGTCCAAGGCGGCCTCCCAGACGGCACAAGAGAGTCCAAGACGGCCCAAGACGGCCCAAGAGGCCTCCCAGAGGCCTCCAAGACGGCCCACTTGGACGTCCTCCAGGACGGCCCGAAGAGGCCAAAATCATTGATTTTCCGTAGGTGTTTGAAGGATTTTCGCATTCGCTTCTTCTCGGCTGTCCGACGACCCCAGACGGCCCAAGAGGCCCCCAAGATCGCCCCCACAGCGCCCAAGAGGCCTCCAAGATGGCCTCAGGGCTGCGAAAGAGGCCCCCAAGACAGCCCCAACAGGGCACAAAGACGACCCAAGGGGCCTCCAAGACGCCCAAGATGGCCCCTAAGACGGCCCTGGAGCACCCCAAGAGGGCCCCAAGTCGGCCCAGTAAGGCCCCCAAATGGCTTCCGACGGCGTCAAACGGGCCAGGAGCCCACGAAGATGGCCGAAGTTGGCTCGCAGCTGGCCCAAGACGGCCCAAGAGGCCTCCAAGAGGGCCTCCAGAAGGCCACAAAAGGCCAAAAACACGTCTT